AATGAATTGTTTGCGTTTAGAACCGGGAGGAGAGAGAGAGAGAGAGAGAGAGAGAGAGAGAATAAATTATTGTTATTTAACAAAAATGATTGTAAACATGTAATAATAGTTGATATAATTTGTGTCTGCTAGGTCATGTGGACACTGCACTGGTGTGTGGGTGTAATCTGACAATTACACCAGCCATGGCTCTAAATCAACAAATACTGGGAATGTGTTCAAAGAGAGGAGTTTGCGCTCCACTGGACAGCGGGGCCGACGGCTACGTAAAGGGAGACGCGGTTTGTTGTGTACTTTTACAGCGACGACCGGAGGCCCGGCGTCTGTACGCAACCATACGTTCAGTTCGTATAAATGTCGACGGCTTTAAGAAAGACGGAATGTTTCGTCCGGGAAGTGAGTCTCAAACTGAGCTAATGGTCCGCACGTATACCGACGCCGGGATAGACCCGACACAACTCACTTACATAGAAGGCCACTGCGCCGGCACTCAGGTTAGTACTTAAATTTCTAATGTAGTTTAATTAATCTCAATACAGTAAAAGATCATTTGGGTAAAGTAATTGGGTTTTAGCATTTGGTTCACACAATTGATCAGTTCACACAGTTGATACCTTTTTAACGTTATGTGACATAAATCCTTTTTAACGTTATGTGACATGACCAAAATCCACACTTAATAGACATAACTTATGTCTATTAAGTGTGGATTTTGGTTTTGGTTCACACAAATGGTCAGTTCACACAAATGGTACTTCACACAGATGGTCCTTTACTGTATAATCTCTGCATTGTGTAACTTTACCTATAATTATTATAATACACTATTATTATGTAAGACAAGTGTATTGTTTAAATCTATAGTTAATTTATTTAATCATTTTATTTATTAATAAATATATAATTCTTATGCATCAAAAAGGCTGGGGATGTAATTGAAATGGAGTCCATATACAACGCGTACTGCAAACCTATGGGACGAACGGATCCGTTGCCGTTCGGGTCAGTGAAGAGCAATATGGGTCACGCGGAGGGCTCCTCCGGTCTCTCGTCGCTAATCAAAGTACTTATCGCTTATGAAAATGAATTAATTCCTCCGAATTTGAATCTCAATAAATTGAGAGATGATGTCCAGCCATTTGTGCCACCAATTATGCCCGTGGTCAAGCCATTCGTTTATAAACCAGGTATAGTTTTAACATATTATTATTAAAGTTATTAAAATATAAAACCTCACACAGTTTAAATAAAATAAACGAATAAACATTAATTCAAAAATACATCTAAAAATTAAGCATTTAACTTTGCTTTGGCTTATAGAATAATTTGAGCTATAAAGTGTTAGATTTAAGTAAATTTAAATATTATATATGCTCTGAACGAATACATTAAAACAATTCTATATTAAAATTAAATATTCTTATTATAAAATTACACTAAAGGTTTGGCGGCGATCAACAGTTTGCCATAGCCGCCACGCTTGCGTGTGGATAACGAGCTTGGGTTGGTATTCAACCGGTGTTTACTACTAATGGTTTCTCAGCGGCTATAATACGGGTCTTAACAGTTGTAAACGCCGTCTTCACTTCTCTCCGTCAATTATATTATGAATTTCATTGAAAACAATCCCCAGAAAATTACAAATGACTTTTTGGCACTTTTGACACAATCGATGAAATATACGCCAAATGTTAACTCATCGGGAATGCCGTTCAGAGGTTTGACCAAAATATGTTAAATAGTATTAACATTAAATATAATTATATTTTAGGTTCAATTATAATAAAGAAAATATCGGAAGAAATTAAAGGAAAAATAAAATATGATTACAAGAAACAGATGGGAGTTATGAGAGAGAAAACAGTGCGACCTCTTTGGGTACTATTCCCGGGTTTGGGCGGTCAGTGGCCGGCAATGGCTAAGGCTTTAATGCCAATCAAGATATTCGCCGACACTATTGAAGAATGTCATCAAATACTCGATAAAGAGTTTGGCATTGATTTGAAACATATATTATTATCGGAGGACAAGACAGCCATCTCTACAATGACCGCCAAATTTGTGGCGACGACTGCTTTACAGGTGTCGTTGTTTGCGGTCATCAAAGACTTAGGGATCACTCCCGACGGCATAATTGGTCACTCATTTGGTGAGATTGCCTGCGCTTTCGCCGACGGATGTCTTACTGTAAAGGAGGCTATGATTTATACAGCATTTCGGGCCATAAATAGCAAACAAAATGCGAAAATAACCAAAGGATTGATGGCATTCGTGGGTCTGTCCAGAGCTGAGGCACTGAAATACTGTTCAAATGATGTTTACATTGCGTGTAATAATGCGAGCAATAGTGTCGTTATTTCAGGTATATATTTCTTTATATATATCAATCTGCAATTAAATTATTAAATTTATAAATATACATATTCTGCATTCAATTTTAGGTCCAATAAATGAAATTTTGGAGATTATTGAAAGATTGAAAGCAAACGAAGTATTTGTACGTCCATTAGATTGCGATGAAATCCCATACCATTCGCCATATATTAGCGAATCGGCGAAAGCCATGAGAGAAGACATTAAGAAATATGTACCAAATCCTAAACTCCGGTCCAATAAATGGTTGTCCACTTCGGTGTTGACATCACATCCTGAAGACGAGGCTTTGAAATACTCGGGCGGAGAATATTTTGAGTATAATATGTCAAATGAGGTTCGATTTTATGAACAGTTGCAGAAACTGCCCGTCAATGCAGTTGTCCTCGAATTGAGTCCGCACTCAATATTCGGACAAATAGTGAACGAAACTCTCAAAGACTGCACTAATATATCACTCCTTAAAATGGATTCAAACCATACAAATATGGATATGTTTTTGTCCGGTTTGGCACAGCTTTACGAACTGGGCTTTAATCTAGACGTCCATAGACTCTACCCGTCAGTTGAGTGGCCGGTGGCCCGCAATACACAGTCTATTGCATCACTAATCAAATGGGATCACAACCAGAGTTATCCTCTAAGACCTTATGAGGAAAGATATTTCCGAACGAATGCCTCGAATACTAACGTTACTATCAGTCATAAACTAAATCAGGACTCATTTTACCTTGATCATATTGTGGACGGACAGCCCCTATACCCGGCCACAGGCTTCCTGATGCTGGTCTGGCGTAAAGCGGCCGCAAGTGTTGGCAAATTTTGGATCGACTGTCCCGTAGTGTTTGAGAACATACACTTCAAACGAGCGGTGTTTTTGTCGGACTCGACTGATACTAAACTTGTTGTTAAATATAGTCCACAATCGGGTATGTATTTGTTAAAACGATACTTTACTTTATTATTTTATTTATCTTAATAGTTTAAATTGAAGACCTATTTACATTTCTCTGATCATTAATTAATATAATAAAACTGTTAAATACAACTAAATTATAGGTGAGTTTACAATTAACGAGAAGGACGAACTGTGTGTTACGGGTAGAGCACAACCCGTATTGGGAGCCACGGGTGGGGACGCAGACGAGTCCGCACTCATTGGCCAGCAATCAATCGACGAGTGGAGACACTTAGTGGGGAAGACGTCCAACACTATTGACCGCAAAGACATTTATAACGACGTGAGGGCTCTGTGTATAGATCACGGCCCGGCTTTCCAGCGGCTCAGTTGTATCGGAACCGACGACTTTATACTATTGTACGGTCGGTGCGAATGGACGGGCAATGCTGTCACTTATTTAGACGGCTTATTGTTGGCGACAATGATTCAGACGCCGTCCCGCAAGACATCTGTGCCCGTAATGATCCGTAGACTGTGTGTCGACCCCCGCCTACTCTTTGACAGCATTAAAGCATCCTTACTGTCCGCCGAAATGTCAGTACCGAATAACGAGGACATTCATATTGAAGGTTTTGTTAAGGTGTTTATAATAACTAAATGTAAACTTGGGGTACAATTAACAAATATTTCATTAAAAACATAATTGTTTTATCCATAGATCGCATTGGAGGAAAGCGCTGACTTAGAGAAGCAATTGAATGATCGCTACGCTGTGTATTCGGCAGAAATGCCCTTTCGGTACAACAGTCTTACCCGACAACTGGTGTCGCCCGGCATTGAAATCGACGATCTGGTCGTCCATCCCATCGCCCGCCGGCCCGACACTAATCTTACACTAGAGTCCTATGAGTTCTGTCCCAACAATGATATGGAGGCAATCGATGACAGCATGCGCTCAGAAATGTTGCAATATATTAAGGTTTTGCATTGTTGTTTATTAAATTTAATGCAATATTATATTATACCAATTGCAGTAAAACTTTTGTGTTATCAAAAAAATTGCATGCCGAGTATACCATAGATTAGTTGACAGAATAGTAACTATTTTAAAATTAAGTCTATGAAGTTGATATAAAGATAACATATAAGTTTTACTTTATACCAAATAAGGGTTAATGAATGATACTATCAAGAAATAACATGTTTTTAAAATATAATAGTTATGCAAATCAATGGCCGGAAAAGTGTGTCAATTGGGAGCAACACAATTGAAATGCGATTTTAATTATGAAAGAATTGGCAACAATTTATTACAAAAGTACATGAATAAAAACAATAAAAATCATGTATTGTTTCGTATATTTAATACAATTATCACAGAAATAATTGACACTAATATGAATGTTGTTGACGTTAAAGAAACTATTAGTGAGATTTTGAACGAAATACTAATGAATCCGGAATACGATATTAATAATGATATAATAAATCAAATTCAAAATAACGAAAGATTGTTTAAATCAGTTGTGGATATGGTTTGCGAAAACGTGGGCAATATTAGTGATATGAATGTGACCGAGATCAATCTCACTAATAATCTATTCATTAAACACGTGGAAAGAATTATTTCTCGATTTCGTGTTATGGCTTTGAATACAAATTATAAACTTATTGTCAATCAAAATAATAATAGATTTAAACAAGAATTTGGTAATAAAGTGGAGGAATGGGATCCGAGTGGGAGTGCAGTACATCTCTCGCCATCCCATCTGATTATATTGAGAGATACATCAAACTTATGGCCATTGGATTTAAATGAGTTTATACAAGATTTGTACGACTCAATCAAAAACAATGGATTTTTAATAACAGTATTCCGATATCAGTTAACAGAACCGGAGATTGCATTCAATTCATTGGACGCAACAAATTGTGTCAATAATAATACTTTAGATTCACGTATTAAAGCGTTTAAATTAGTTTCGTCTGAAATTGGGTTTAAAATAATTGCCACAAAATATGACACAATAGGAAGTGCTGTCCTATTGTTCAGAAAAGTTGAAGATTATTATGAAATCCCAAACATTGAAAATTTTGTTAATATAACAAAAGATTATATGAAATGGTTTCCAGTATTGAAGAAAAAGATGATTACTTTTAAAGAAACGGCTAATAATTGCGATAACATATGGCTTATGGCAAACGACACGACAATCAATGGTATCATTGGTTTAATGAATTGTTTGCGTTTAGAACCGGGAGGAGAGATATTCCGCTATATTTTCTATAACGATAACAATAATAACGAAACTCAAATTGATTTCACAATCAAACCGTATTCTGATATATTGGCCAATGATTTGGTGGCAAATGTTATGAAAGGGGAAGTTGTGGGCACTTATAGACACTTAAAACTGCCCAATGATTACGATAAATGTCTATCAAATGATTACTTCTTAAATATGGGTCAAACACGTGATATATCGGGTTTGCAATGGTTTGACGGACGAAATGTACCGCTAATTAAATACGATTTTGGCAATAATAAAGTGGACAAAACAAGAGTTGATATTTATTGCTCTGGTATTTCCTCTCGTGATATATCCATAACTAGTGGTAATTATAATGGACTCACTGATCAAATGATCTTGTTTACTTTTTTAATTGTAATTTAAACTTCAGGCCATATTTCCGGTGGTTTTCACTCAATGTTCACCGACTGTCTGTTGGGCGGGGAATACGCCGGGCGTCGGGCGGATACCGGGCAGCGGGTTATGGGTATTGAGTTCGGGCGTTGTATTGCCACTCATGTTAACGCCTGTGTCCTCAATATGGCTCCGATACCCGATCACTGGTCAATGGCTGAGGCGGTGACTGTACTCAACAGCTATTCGACAGTATATTATGCACTCATTAAAAAGGCTAATATTTTAAAAGGTTTGCTTTGAGTTAACTATTTTGTAGTTAAAATAAATTTGTATTATTTTATTCAATAGACGAAAGTGTATTAATACACTCCGGAGCGGGAAGTGTAGGTCAGGCGGCCATTAATGTTTGCCAACACTTCGGATGCGATATTTATGTGACGGTTGGGACGGAAGAGGAAAAACAGTTTCTCATCAAAGAGTATAATATTCCGGAGAATCGGATTTTTAGCTCAAGAGATATGCGATTCAAGAGTGAAATAATTGAGGCGACAAACGGTCGGGGAATAGATGTTGTGCTCAATTCATTGACCGGCAAAAAGTCGGATTTGAGTTTTGAATGTTTGGCAAAAAGTGGACGGTTTATCGAGTTAAACAAATCGGACCATGGGCAAAATCGTAAACACAATCCATACGATTTTGACGGCGATATTCAATACATCGGAGTTTCAGCCAATCTTTTGATTACAGACATCGGGTTTTTGCCAGAGTTTTATGAATGGATTCAACAGAACTCGTGTCCGAATGGGTTTATCCGTCCATTGAATTATATAGTATTCGGGGCCAAAAGAGTTGTCGATGCGTTTTGTTATATGACTACCGGTCGACACATCGAGAAAGTAGTCCTTAAATATAGGGACGAGTCGTCAGATGTGTGGCCAATGAATCGCATTACTCCGGCATATGATCTGAAGGTTGACATTAAGACATATTTCAATAGTGAAAAGGTATTCATAATAACGGGTGGTTTGGGAGGAATGGGATTGGAGTTGATGTCATGGATGCATATGAGAGGCGCCCGAAAGTTTGTACTCACTTCTCGTTCTGGTATTAAAACTAATTATCAAAAGTTTTTCATCAATCGTATGAAATCTTATTGCAAAACAAATCAATATTTTGAGTCCCAAATCATAATATCGACGGCCAATGGACTCACTATTGAGGGTTCAAAACAACTGCTATCGGAGGCCAAACAGTTGGGACCCATTGGAGGGGTCTTTCATTTGGCACTCGTTTTAAACGATTGTTTATTTGAAAACATGACGATTGAAAAGTTTGGGGAAACGGTTGACACTAAGCACCGGGTGTTTGCAAATCTGGATCAACTGACGCGACAATTGGACTATAAATTAGACTATTTTGTAGTGTTTTCGTCTCAATTCACTGGCAGTGGTTTTGACGGCCAAACAAACTATG